TATAATCAGTCATTATTACTTGTCAATTTTCTTTAGAGTCTCAAATGCATTTCTACTACTCAATCCCCAGTGTTGTCACATTAAATCAAATCTTTATTATCTCTTACATGAGATATTGCAAATATTTCCCAGATAATTCTCCTACCTCAAGTCACACAATCCCCCACACTGCCTGCCTCCAGAATTAACTTTTTAATATCCAAAGTCATGAGCAAGGCCAGTGGTACAATATAAAAGACACATTAAAGTAAAACTTAAAAGGATGCCATAAAGAGGAAATATTTCAAATATATTGACTAATAGGATGAGATAATAAACAGAATTGTGTGTAATGTGATATTATATGATCTGGAGAAAAAGAAAGCAAGAGAGGAGGGTGGGGTATGCCCCCAGACAATTTCAATATTAAATAGTTTGTTCAAGGAAGGCTGCCAGGAGAAGAGAGGATCTGAAGCCTAGGAAGTAAGCCATGGGAGTATCTTGGGAGAGTGTGATTGGTAGAAGGTGCTAAGACTCCTTGGTGGAGAGGGCTCCTGTGGTCAGTGAATGAAAATGGTGTCAGGGCAGCTGGAGTTCAGATAAGGTTGAAGGCAGAACAAGAGAGAAAACAGTGGAGCAAGAAAAACCAGAGACTGCTGCAATTCTCCAGTCAAGTGGATTGTGATTTGGATGTAGCAGACAAGGTACTCAGTAGCCCAACAAAAGATGCTGATGAATATGCAATGCATTTGAAAGAAAATTCCAGATTCACTCTAAGCATCTGTGCATAAGGAATTGGAAGAATGGAACCATTAACCAAAACTTGTGTGAGCATGATGCTTCTGAATTACTTATAATATTTTGAAAAATGTGATTTGATTCTTTGTGACTGAATCGATACTAAGAAGTCATTTACAGTGGAAAATATACTCCAATAAATCTTCTGTACAAGATTCAAAAAATTATAGTTCATTTTAAAAACATGAGTGTCCAGAAGTGCTTAAATATACCTAGTTCTACCCTAAATGATATGTGGTAGATGATGTTGTTAACTCCGTATGTCTAGCAAAGAAATTGAAGTAGGGAGAAGAAAAGTAACACCTTGAAGGTAATATATAGAATCCTTCTTCAAAACTTTAGTCAGATTCTTCTTCAGTCAGCTTCCTCTCAGGGGTTATTGTTTTTCTGTTGCTGTATTTCATTACTAAGGAAGAATCTAGAAACACCCAGGACAGATACTGGCAGGAGGGAATGACTACAGACAGGCACAAGAGAACTTGTGGTGAAGTTCTCAGTCTACATCTTGATTTTGGTGGTACATTCTAACACAACTTAATGCATCAAAATATAATTGCACATTAAAAATAGTGTGTTTAACATATATAATTATGTATCAATAAACATGAATTTAAAAAGCAATCTAGCAAATATCATAAACTGATTGATATTGGAAAAACAGGTTTTGTCCAAAGGCAAAACAAATCTCTCATACTACATAATTTGTTCTAACACTGCTGTTTTTTTTCTGGTTAAAGCAATGTTTCTCATGTAATTTTCCAAGAATATTTAGTGATAAAGTAACATAATTTTATTTGTTACCATGTAATTTGTCTTGTGTGATTTCAACCATCTTTACCACAGCAGGAAGAACTATGGTTTCTCCAATGATTTCATTCCTTCTCTGCAGGAAATCTCAAATACAACTTCTAAACATTTATCATAAACTTAGTGAAAATTTGTAAATGACTAGATTGAGCATGACTGCAAACATTGCTGAAAAACCCAGAAAGGGGTGCAGCTATGTTCCAGATATTATTAAAATTTTGTTATTAATGATGCTGTGTACTGTCAATAACCAATACCTCAAGACAAATATGCTCTTAGGCCAAGTTTAATCACATATAAGAGATTATGTTGTTTTTGACACCCTGAATAAATTTAAGGAGATTATCAATGCTTATAATATAATGAATCTGAAAATACCCTTTAATAAAAATAGAGAAAATGCCAGCTATACCATTTGTTGTTGACTTATGCATGGGATTAATCAAATAACCTTTATTTTGTACGTTTAACTCAAAATTCCCTGATGGCTCAGATGGTAAAGAATCACCTGCAATGCAGGAGACCCCGGTTTGATTTCTGGGTTGGGAAGATCCACTGGAGAAGGGATAGGCTACTGACACCAGTATTCTTGGGCTTCCATTGTGGCTCAGCTGGTAAAGAATTCATTTACAATCTGGGAGACCTGGGTTTGATCCATGCATTGGGAAGATCCCCTAGAGAAGGGAAAGGCTATCCACTCCAATATTCTTGCCTGGAGAATTTCATGGACTCTATGCCCCATGGAGTTGCAAAGAGTTGGACATGACTGAGCGACTTTCACTTTTACTTTTGTAAAGACTTTTGTCTAAATATTTATCTAGTTGAATCTAGTTGAAAATAGACAATGATTCTATTTAACACACTTATCAAAACACTTGTAACATCAGTATACTCTTAAAAATACAATTGCCATCAAAATCCAATGAGATACCACTTGATATCCATTAGAATGGCTGTAATCAAAATGACAATAAAAACATTTGTCAAGAATATGATGAAATTAGAACACACATAATTTTGGTGGGAATGTAAAATCCTTCCAATTGCTTTGGAAAGCAATTTGGAAGTTCCTCAAAAGGTAAAACATAGTTACCATTCCACCCCACCTATCCATCCAAGAGAAAGTAATACACATGTCTATGCAAAAACTCAGACATATATGTTCACAGCATCATTATTGATAATAGCCATAAAGTGTTAAATAACTCAAGGTCCATCAACTGATAAATAGATAAATAAAGTGTGATTTTATTACTATTATCCATGCATAAAATAATTGTCCTAATTCACACAAGAGTTGAAACTTGAAAACATTATGTTAAGTGAAAAGAGCAGATACAAAAATATTGTATGATTCCATTTATATGGTAAATCCATAGCAGCAGAAAATAAGTTAATGACTGCCTGCAGATGTGATGAGGAAGGAATGGGGGGTAACTGCTTATGGATACAATGTTTCTTTGAGGATTGAGAAAATGTTTCTAGATTAGATAGCGGTGACAGGTACACAGCTCTGCAAATACACTAAAAATCACAGAATTATACACTTTTAAAGGGTGAATGCATGGTATATGTATTATATGTCAATTAAAAAACCAGGAAGCAAATACTGTCTACAATTTAATACTGTAAAAATTTCAAAAATTTTCCAGAAATTTCATATTTGGGGGCCAGTAGCAATCATGATATTAAATATTATAAGGTTTTTGTGGTTTCTTATATTTCTTAATGAAAATAGGCATCAGGAGAGATCTGAAAATTTTTTTCTCACAACCTTATGGATACTTAAGCACTCTAGAGACAGCTAAGATGGAAAATTAAGCTTTCGTCTGATAAACATGATATGTTACATGAGCTGCTCCAAATCTACTTTTCCAGACTCATCTCTTAACGTTGTACTATCACATGTGCAATCCCTCAGTCCTTCAATGGCCATCCCTTTCTCCTTTATGCACCCATTCACAAGGTATTCTGTTGATCTGGAATGCATGGCCTCCGCGTGGCCTCCCTTTCTATCAGCAACCTCTCTCAGTGAATTTCACAGCAAGCATGAAGGTTTCAAGGGCCTCCAGCAAAAGCAAGCTCTCCCATGGCCATTTCCTTAGCAGTTTGCTACTGATCCTCTTAAAATAATCACTTCTATAGAGCTTCATGTCTTTCTCATTAGCCTTAATTTCTCTATAGCAAGCACATACAAGTTTAGCTTGGCTTAATTTTTTTTAAAAATGATTCAGACTGTTTTAAAATTTATTTCTTTCACTAAGTGAAATTTATTTCTTTCACTTTACTCAAGTCAATAAAAGAACTTCTGTGAAATTTATATTGCAATGTATAGATAAGCTAGTAGATTCAATCACATCTATTCTGGAAAAGAGGGCTAATGTTATTTGCTTGCTTTGTAAAGGAGTGGGCAGAAGAGAACAGTGACAAAGAAATTGCAACAAAATATCTAAAAGAAAGAAAATCAAGGGGAAAATTTAGTATCTACAAAGGTGCGTGCAATGCTTTTGCAGTTTTAAGTCACTCAATATTCTTCTTAGAGTAAAAAGAAAAATACAGAATCTTTGAAAACAGGCTTATAATGATTTATAATACATAACAATTATATCCTCAATTCAAAATTAGATTAATATGATTTCAATATAGAGAAAATAAGGTTAATATTTCTACTTTCAAGCTGCATGTTTATAGTAGTGTACATTTTAGAAATTTCTAAATCACTTTAAGGAATTTAACTTTAGTAACTTCAAGAAGAAAGGAAATTCTAATTTTACCATTAAGTAATTATTTTGTTTTCAAATGATTTGCTGCAAAACAAACTACATGTACTGGCCTACTGTCATACTCCTTACAGTCTCTTATGTTGTACTGCATACATATATTTATGATAAATAAAAACATTAATTTTGAAAAGAATGTGCTTTACATTAAATAGTCTGGTCTATAAGATGCATACATTTTATTTCCTAATATTCATTTTCACCATCATGGATAGGTAATTGAGAGCAAATAGAACAAATTAAGCAAAAGTGACTTTAATGAATTGTCATATACATGTACTAATTTTTAAAAAAAATCTGTATAGTTATCCAATATTATTTAGGAGTGCAAGATAGCCATATGCTTTTCAAAAGTAGAACACTGCTGAAATTATTTTTAGTAGCCCATTTAGTGTTCAAATATTTAGAGTACAATTCCTCACAACAACAAGTACTTTGTAGTATATTATTTACCTATTTGTTCACAAGCAATGTCAATTTATTTTCCAAAACTATGTAAAATTGCATTTCAGTAGCCCATCAAACAATATGTTCAATTTTCAGTGAAACACATAAAAGCATATACTTACTCTAATATATTAAATATACTTTGAAATTACTAATAATCATGATTGGCAGCAATAATCTAATAATTACCTTAATTTGCTCTTCAGTTGCTAAAACTCCATGTTTTTTTTCCTTCGATTTACTGAACACTTAAACATTTCTGTAAAAAAAAATTAATTAGATGATGAGAAAAAATATACAGTTTATAGTTATAGGTGTAGCACTACTTGAGTATATATGTATTTCTTATTGTTTGTCAAATGTATTTTTCCAACTAAGGTTAGGGTATAGCTGCTAGTCACAAAGTCATGTTTGACTCTTTGCAATCCCGTGGGCTGTAGCCCTCCAGGCTTCTCTGTCCATAGCAGCAGAACCACATATAAAAACAAACTTCAATTCACATGTGATTTATCTTCCTTCACCATCTAATTTACTATAATGTAGGTATGGAGCTTAAATATTTTCCTAATTAAATGAACACACAGGGTTTTAAAATAAATTCTGAGGTTTCCAAGAAATTTTGGAAACTTTTAGCTAAGATCCTAGGATATGTTTAATCACTTTTATTACTAGAACTATTGTGGGAAAATATTGGAGGAAGACCTTAATATATCTTGCTACTCTATTAGACATATACACACAAACCCCAAAAATATACACGATCTGTGTATTTAGGAATAAATAGATAGTGCTTAGGGGCTTCCCAGGTGGTGCTAGTGGTAAAGAACCCACTTGTCAATGCAGAAGACAGAAGAGACGTGGGTTTGATCCCTGGGTTGGGAAGAAGGGAGAAGGGCAGGACAATCTACTCCAGTATTCTTGTCTGGAGAATCAATCCCACAGAGAGAGGAGCATACGGGCTACAGTCCATCGGGCTGCAAAGAGTAGGACATGACTGAAGTGACTTAGCACAGCACAGCACACACAGAATATGATTATAATAATTTAGAGAAATTCAGACTTTAAAAACATTATGAAGGAATAAACAATAACATTAAAGTTTGCTTAAATGGCAAATTTTAGTCTTTATTTTCTGTAAATTACTACAGTATCTCCTATTTATCTTTTTATTAAAATAATATCAATGTCAGGCATTTTATCCAAAAAGAAATAATATAAACACACACACACACACATATATATATATATAAATTTTTAAAAGGAGTAATGTCCTCCAAGTTATTTTCTTTGGTATTTCAGCATTTTCAGTGTCATGCAACAAGTTCAATTTCTGAACATTACAGTGAGTCCATTTAATGCTTTATACAAGCATCACCTATTTCAATTATTATGATATTTGGTATTCTTTATGCTGTTAGTATTGTGCTATTAGCAGAGGTTAAGTAATCATGTTCATGCCAAAACAATGACAAAAGCTATTATCTATTCTAGTATCTTGTCCCTCAAATGGATAAAGAATTAGTTATAGGCAGAAAGCCATTAGCATAAAATTAAAATTGAGTTTTCCTTTGCAGACATTATTGATTACCGTCAGATATATATGAAAACAAGCTAGTGGAAAAATATTCACTAATAGAAGCATTATATTTTGTTTCAGGATTTAAAAACATGAAAGCAATGGGATTGGCTGTTTTCTTCAATGAACATCAACTCATGTTAGGCATGAGCAACAAGGAGTGGCCTAGCGGAAAAGGATTGCAAAGCTGATCTTTAAAACCCATCCCAGACACACCCAGGAGAGCTCACAGATAATGCTACAAAAAAAAAAAGAAAAAAAAAACCCACAGAGACTTTTCCAACTATTGCATGTGGGCCCTAGGCACACAGTAGATACAAACTAACTATGGGTGCTTCTTCAAGTAACCTTAGGCAGTTAGGAGCCCATTAAGGGTTCATAAATATTCTATACATAAATACATCTGATTATAACAGACTGAATTTTGGGAAGACTCGCATAACAGAGCCTGCTCTTATATAACTCGCAAGGGAATGCCCGTTTGCATTCCCTTTCCTGACTGGTGATGGGTATGAGTCCCATTTTACACAGTGCACAACCAAGAGAATGAGATCTGAAGCATGAAAAAGGAGGCCAAGAGAGATCCTTATGAATCCTTTGGGTTGGCCTGCTCCCTTGTCTTGGTGGGGTCTGTTTAACAAAACTTCTGTCTGCTTGAGCTGCAACTGAGCTGTAATTTCTCTGCTGGTTTAAACCCTTCAGTCCACCATTTCAAATCTTTGCTGTAGTAAGACAAGAACCAAGGAAGTGAAACAAACAGACCTGACAGAGGGACTAGAGAAGCAAGCAGAGATACCAGACCAAATAACACTGTCCTCAGTATAAGGCAACAAGGCTGAATTTCCTTTCTAATTAGTAAACAGGTCTAAAGGGCGTTTTAAAAGAAGAGTTGCTAGAGTTATTTTTAATCAAAGTGATTACTTTGAAGGAAAACACTCATGGAGTATGTAACAGCTCAATGTGTTTATATTGACATGTTTTCATTAGTGTTCAAAATTTATATAAATACAATTAACTGAGTATCACTGCAATATTTCATTGAACTTTCACATTTACTATGTAAAGTGTCTACTCATGACTTCTATAAATTTTCTTTTGTTTTTCGCTTACTGAATTTTAGAGTTATATACTAATTCTGAAAGTAATCTTTTGCTGGTTAAGTGGTACAAATACCTTCTATTTGTGGCCTGTAGATTCACTAATTTTAATAATATTTTCTGATGAACATCAAATTCCTATTTTAATGCTATCACATTTGCAAAATATTTACTTTAAAAATATACTTTTGGGGTGGGTTCCATTTGCTTTGGGGTCTTTCTTTTCTGTAAAAAGAAGGTATATTTTTAAAGTAAATATTTTGCAAATGTGATAGCATTAAAATAGGAACTCAATGTTCATGAGAAAACATTATTAAAAATGAAAACTTTCCCTATCCAAAAATAAAAGTTATATAAAAATCAATTCATGAGTAATTATTGAAATTGTCACTTGTAAGAGTGAGTTAGATGAAGTACTTTGGATATGAATACTAGATTGCTTAAATTAAAAAATAAAGTTAAATTAGACCCTGCTGTTGATAAAATGTAAACAAACACATATATATCAAAATGGAAAATAAGATAACAATAAAGTTTGAGTCTCCAATTTAAAAAAACACAAGATAAAGACATGAAAGTTAAAGATAAATCTTCTGATACTGAGATAGCAAGTTTAAAAAATAGACTAGCTTCTTTCTTCTCTCCCTTCTTTCCTTCTTTCCTTCCAAAAGCAATTAAGTATTTACCCTGTGTCAAGGCACTGATCTAGGTACTATGGATTCAGGAATGAACCAAACAGACAAAAATATCACTTACAGAGCTTACACTTTGTTCTCAATGGGAACTAAGAAGAAAGTGAGAAAAAGAGATGAAGGGGAAGAAAGTTAAGTTTGACTTTATATTCTTAAGACTTTTTAAAAACATTTTTAAACTTTGAACACTATTGTCTGAACAATTAATATTGTCAGTGAACTTAAAAAATATTTAAATACAGTAAAATTTTATATTCTGCTTAATCTTTAGAAAAATGTTCTGAGGTTGGTATAAATGTTATCTTCTTTATTTTACAAATAAATATTTTGAGACACTGAATGGTAAAATTAAAATTTGCTCACAAATATTCCAGGTTCAGAGTCTAAACCCTCAAGCTGTTCAAACAGCATTTTACTGATTGTTACTGTCCATATATGTTAAGAGCACATTTACAATGGAAGACAGAAAACAAGCTTCCTTAAATGAATTTTTCAGGAAATAGTCATCTCAGAATTTCCTAAGATTCATGACTTTTAGAAGATATCTTCATATTCTGATATTTAAATGAGATTCCCCAGAAAACCTCAGTAAAAATCAGTCTGGAATTAAGATGAAATGACATTTTATTATAATGCCACCATATCCTTCTGTGACATTAATTCAAAAGTATTTGACAACTCCTACTCAACTGTCCAGGAAAGGTTCATGAAGTGATAAAGAAGTGATATGCACAAACATATTTTTAAAAGATCATTTTAGTGTCAGTTAATAGATGGTCTGCAGCCTAAGAAGATGGATATTTTTAAAAGGTCAATGAGAACTTAGATTCATATAAAAATGCAATAAATCAAAGAAATTATCATAAGGCAAATTTTTATCTATGAGAGTTAGAGCTCAATTCATTTTTAAATTAAACAAACAAACACTGGGTACCACAATTTATTATCTTACTGTAAAAGGAAGTATATAGTCTTCATATCTATCATTTCAATTGTTTGGAAGTTAAGAAAATATAAGATTAAGCTTTATAAATAGATACAGTAACAACACTATTGACATTCTACCTCCATGAGATCATATTATTCAAATCATTTTTACAACTACCATCTTTCAGTCTCTCAATCTACTAGTCTATGAGTTATCTTCAAATATTTTCTACTTAACTCCTTATGGATGACCATTACTATGTACCATTATATTATTCTCTCTGTGCAGTGTTTATATTTGTTTTTCACCTCTATTTCCAGTATCATAATTATCCCAGCCACGTGAAACAGGCAGAGATCAAAAAAAAAAAAAAAAATTCCTATTTTACAGATTAGAAAAGGCAACTCATAAAGATTATCATGGCTATCAAGTAAAAGTGCCAAAATAGGAATCCAAAGCATTGGACACTTAGTTTGGCCACCTGTTATCACATGTTGTCATCACTGGCCCCTCCATCTGTCATACTGCAATAGGACTTGATATTCTTGGAGTACCATCTATCCCTCTCTTAAATCTCTCCACCAGAATAATCTAAGACCTCATTTTCCTCACTAATCCAAAAAAAGTCCCTATTATTTTCCATAGAGTCTTTTTGACACTGTCTACACCATTAAATAGAATTTTCCCATCAGCCAGCTTGGGTTGCTGGCTGGCTCCTCAGACAGAATACAGCTAAGATAGAGTACCTTGTTAATGTAAACCCCATGAATTTAGCCTGAATACTTTGTGTACAAACACATCTCTAAACTCATGGTGCGTTTTAAACTGAGAGTGCAAAGTTTAGTTCTAAATGCACCATATTTTTCACACAAGATAGTTAAAGGACTCAAGAATGTATGCCATTGTAGAAAGGAGAATTCCCATGTGGTGCTAGTGGTAAAGAACCTGCCTGCCAATGCAGGAGACATAAGAGACATGGGTTCCATCCCTGGGTCAGGAAGATCCCCTGACATAGGGAATGGCAATCCACTCCATTATTCTTGCCTGGAGAATTCCACGGACAGATGAGCCCGATGGGCTACTGTACATACAGTCACACAGAGTCAGACACAACTGAAGTGACTTAGCACATATAATGGAGAGTGTCTTAAGGCAGACTTCTAAATCAATTATAAAACTAAACAATATTGTCAAAATTTATCTATTTCACGAGGGTGGAAATTGACTAGTTATACAACACATTAGGTGCTTAAGCCAAAAAAACTACTCTACTTTTGGTAAGAACAGTAGAGATGCTGTGGCATTTATACCTGGGAATTTCACCATCTTTTTCCTAATTTAAAAGAACTGAAAACTATACAAAGTCAGTTGTCAAACCAAAACAAAATTAAAATCAAAATAAAAAAGAAAAGTTTGGAAAATCCCTGGTACTTGGAAGTTTTTAAAATTTTTCTAAATATCCAATGCATCAAAGAATAAATCACAAGAGAAATTTAAAAATACTTTCAACTAAGGAAAACTAAAACACAACATGACGAAATTTATGGATTGTAGCTAAAGTACCACTTAAAAGCAAATATATAGTTTTAAACACCTTTATTACAAAAGAAGTTTCCATATCAATAACTAAAGCTGACACCTTAAATAGAAAAGAAGAGCAAAGTAAATGCAAACTTAACAAAACTGAGAGAAAAATAAAGGAAAGAAGGGATAATGTTGACCAAAGACCAATGTTAAGATGAATACACTCCCACTAGTTATTTATTTTATGTTAAAAAAAATTTCATGTCTTTTCTAGCCTGAAAGTGTCTTCATTTTTAATGTAAATAAATTAGTCATAAACCATAAACTTCTTCCCCATAAAAAAAAATATAACATATTTCTTGGAACAGTCAACAGATCTACAAAAGGATATAAATTATATACAGTACATGACAACTCATAGTTTATTAGGGGAAAAGTACACAGATAATGCAAAATAGAGAATAATCTTCAAAGATCAATATATCATCCAACATTTTTACTGCTCAATTGCTGAATTTCTTTTGTTTAGATGAATAAAAAGTAAATTATAACTAAAACAAGACAAAGGAAGAAATATTATGGTGACAAATACATTGGTTGCCTACATATAGAGAATAGGATTGTTAGGTAAGATAAAGTAGAATAGTATAGGATAAACAGACACATGGAAGGGAAGGGAAAACTCTTCATTAGTGTCCACTGTATAATCCGTCTCTGTGGTTAATATCAAGGATTAGAACAGTGTGTACAAAGTTCTTACAGAGAACAGTTTTTATTTATTAAAATCAAAACCAAAGAATAGGCCTTTTACTTTGTCTGTAATTCAATTACACACAAAGATTGTTTCTGCCCCACAGAAATGGTAAATTCCTGAATAATCAAAAGTTCATGGCATATATAATACCAAAACTCTCATCCTGGTTAAGGCATTGCATTTGAGTGGTAATTCCTCCAGAGGTCTGCTTTCACTGCATTCTTTTGGCCTTGATTATGATACTAAAAGGCAAGAGTTTTCACACCCACAGGTACCTCCTTCTTAGGGCTTGGCCTAGCACTGAGTCATAGATGCTTTAGCTTCTTCCTATGTAAGGAATGCTGCAGCTATCACCCTATGGCGTAAGGAAGAAAACATGACCTGCTGTGAATAATTCACCATCAAAAGGACTTCAAGCACTCTATTGCTTACAGGAAAAATGAGAAAGTTCTTATGATGGGAGAAAAGTTGGTAAAATATACAACAGATGTGACTATTGAAGGTTAGAACCAATATTATAAAGGACTCAATTCATAATAGAAACTCTATGTAGGGAAGATGGATTAATGGCCGAGGTCTGGAGGGTTTCCTGCTTTCCCTTTAACACTTGTGAATTACAAGTAGTCAGCAGCCCATTTCTCTAACCCTAAGAAGAGTTGGTGGAGTTTTAGGAAGATTATTTCCTAAGCAATGAATGTTCTTTGCATTCTCTTCTTGAGACATAGCTTTCAAGTTATCAATATAAAAAACAATCATCCAATGTAATCTCTTTCTAACCCTCAAAAATGGTTATGTTTTAACCATAATAACACATATTTGCTTCCTAATCATGATTTGCAAGTTATATAATAATAGGCGTTATCTAGCTTCTGTCATTTATAGTAAAAAGTGCCTACTCTATATACTTTTAAATAATCATTTTCTGGTAGAATACACTAAAATCCACTTCATTACTTATATCATGAAGTATCAGCTGTTAAAAAAAATTATACATATTTATATGGTCTCTAACAGAGCAGTACAAAATAATTTGACCAGTTTGCATTATAAGTATGAAATATACAATAATTGATTACCCAAGAATTTTTATTAAAAAGAGGATTGTTTAGATGCATGTCCATTTGTTTCAACTTCAGTAGCAATATATAATATCAAATTTTGAATAACAAATGTTTTAAATACAGGAGTTAGACAAAATGTGGTCTCAGAATTCTTTTTAAAATATGAAACTATGATTCCTAAATTATACAGAATTAATTTTCAAAATATATACCTCAATCAAGTGATACTGATTGCTACTGCTTCTTTGAATATACATTTTAAAGCTCATAATGTGTCCTTTTAAAGGTGGATTACAAAAAGAAAAAAGTACAGTCACCTTATTCTTTATATGTATTTTTGAATGGTTGCATATGAATTCATTCATTTTGAATATATTGCAGATATTTGCTATTTAAATGATCTCCAAATAACATTTTAATACAATGCATAATAATCAACTTTCAATGTATATTATTTAAATACCCTTCAATCAATACATCTCATTACCTTTGATACCAGTCAAGCAGACACGAGAGCCTAACATGAAGCATGAGTGTTAGAATGGTATTAACTTGAGTAAATTTCTGAGAATTATTTCAGAAATATGGGTGTAGAAAAATTTGTCATGTTTTATCTCATGTTGAAAATTTTAACAAAAAACTTTAACAAAAAGTACACTGAAGCAGAAATGCTGAAATATAAAAAGATATTTTCCTTTAAGCATTATCCTATTCTTAGTTATCAGGTTTTCAGTTGACAAAAATGTACTTTCCCTTCATGGTTAATTTAGACAAACAAAACAGCTTAACTTCAAATGATTATAAATAAGGAAAAGAGT